CACACATACACACAAACATACATACACACATTATTATTATGCACATTACCTGTCCTCTAAAAATCCAATAAACACATGACAATGAAAAAGCTTTTCTGTTGCTATCTTCTTAAGTTCACCAGAGGCTAATAAGAGTTAAATAAATGAAGCAGGTCATTTCCAAAGTAACAAAACCTTTAGCTTCAAATCTTTTGTTTTCTCTGCCTCTGCTGCTCAGCAACAAAACACGTTCATAGACAATAATTATGAATAGATTTTAGGTTTGTTATAATGATGATTTCCCCTCTTCTCTTTTGTAAATCAATAATAAACCAGAAAAAAACATATTCCGCTCCATTACGATTTTTTATTGCGTCCATCAAGGAAGTTATATTTCCATCAGCATTTTTATATATTTTGTCAAGTAGCATTATTAAATAAACACAACACCACAGATGACCATGAGACTTCTGTCTTCTTGTACTTGAAATTGGTGAAGTGTTTCATAATCTATGACATCTGCTATGACTTAAAGTCCAACGCTGGTCCCTCTCCCATGATCACAGCATCTGGGAAGGCCTCTTGATATTGAAATGGTTCATTCCCCATCTCGGACTCCAGCTCCATGATTGGTTCTTCCTCAACCCTCACAAGCCCCTCCTCTTCTGACAGAGGTTTAACGATGGCCTCTTGATATTGAAACGGTTCATTCCCCATCTCGGAATCCAGCTCCATGATTGGTTCTTCGTCCTTCATCACAAGCCCCTCCTCTTCTGACAGAGGTTCAAAGACGGAATTTTGGCTCTGAAACGCCGCCCTCAAAGACTTCTCTATTTCGGACAGCTCTGCATCGCCCCCTTCCTCTCCAAACATGCCGACATTGTCCTGTGGCTCCGACTCCATGACTGGTTCATTCATGATTTCATAGTTTCTCTCCATGTCCATGTGCCTCTCTTCATCCTCCTGATCCGGTTCATCCTTCACCTCCAGGTTCATCTGCACCTGAAACTCCTCATCAAACATCGGGTTCTCTATGAGTTCTGGCTCTAGTTGAACATCTTGTTCCACCTTAACCTCTGACTCCACCTTGAGGTCGGAGTCAGCTCGAGTCAGCTCTAGATCCACCTTAACTTGTGGCTCTGGTTTACCCTCTTGCTCTGCTTTTAGCTCCTGCTCCACCCAAACACCTTGACCGTCTTTAACCTCCTGCTCCACCTTATCCACTTGCTCCTCTTTAACCTCCTGCTCCACATTAACCTCTGGTTCTTTAACCTCCTGCTCCACCTTAACCTCTTGTTCTTCTTTAACTTCTTGCTCTGCTACAAATGTCTGCTCCACCTTAACCTCCGGCCTTACTTTAGCCTCCACACCTTCCTGCTCCACCTTCTCGTGTGGCACCACTTTAACCTCTACTTCCTCCAGACTCTCTCTCTGGCTCTGCTCCATGTCCTCTGGAGCTGCAGGTGATTTTTCAGAGCCCAGTCTGATCTGTGGTGCAGGAACCTCCACCTCCACATGACCCTGCACCGGCACCCAGTCTCCCACCAGAGGGCGCTGCTCTTCTGTAGGTAAGTCTGAGTCTCGTTCCACACCAGGAGCAAATGGAGGCATTGCCAGAGTCACTGTAAAGAATACATATGAAAAGTAATGAGGCCCAGAGACAGAGCAGAGCCCCCACTGCTCCTTTGTATGACTCCTATAGTGACATAAACAACTTCAAACCAGATGTTTGTGTTTTTATCTCGTGTTTCTTTGTGATTTTTCTGTCTTTTTCTGGTAATTCTGCATCTGTGTTTTTGTGTTCTCTTTGTGTGTCTGTGATTGTGTCTCTTTTCATTGTTTTGCATCTCTTTGTGTGTCTTCTGTGATCATTTGATTCAAGAAATGAAATCAAGTAAAAGTACAAGACTGATTTTTCTACATGAGTAAAAGTGAGACTTTGAAAAATACATTGGATCCAGTGTACAACATCACCCAGATATCAAACCTCTCCGGCCTGCGGACAGTGTAGAGAAGAAATAGAAAAGCCAGAATTTAAAAAAATGCTGCTGTGACGCTCAAAGTCTTTCTCGTTTGTTAAAGAAATAAAAAGTACATCAAATATTCCAGCAATTACTCCCCCTCCCTCCCACCCCTCCCCCAGCTTGTATCAAACAGTATCCCTGAAACCCAATGAACAATAGGAATGAGTAGAGTTAAGTAGAAATCAGTGTTTTGGGTAACATACTTAAAAATGAAATCTCTTACCTGCAACACTCAGTGAGAACAAAACAAATGTCTTCATCTTGACGTGTTGGATCAAATCTGAATATTTATTTACAACAATAGACTGTGATGAGTGTAAAATCTGCCCCACAGAGTTTTATCCACCTGCTCATGTGTCTCCTCTCACAGCAAATTGCTCTTCATCAGCTTTTCTTATGGTTCCTCTAATCTTTATGATTATGATGGTCCAGCCCCTTTTCATTTCTTCACCCTTTCAGTAAGTTATAAACATGGAGACCTTCTGTCACCGTATCTCGTTTTTTGTTCTCTTTTGCTTCCTTGTGGAATGAAGTGGGTCATTAGTGGTACGAAGGGCAGGAATGATGAGCTAAAGCTTCAGCCTTCACCCTTTCTGTCTATACATTTGTTTTGTTGTCCTTTATTTCTTTATTTCTTTGTTTTGTTGACCAATATTATTTTCCTGGAAACAATGTGAAGCAAAGATTTGTGTTGATCAGATTCAGAAATATTTTATTGATCCCTTGAGGGAAAACTGGGTTTCATTACAGTTGCTCCCACAAAGAATAGAAATAAATACAGACCGAGACAAATAAATATGGTATAAAAGATAAAAATATGTGCATTAGAAAACAATATACAGAAAGAAGCCGGTTAAAATAATTTATTACTGAAACACTGCACCTGGCCTAATCATGTAATGTGGACTCTGACCTGCTCAATGTCAAAGACTGATGAATCATTATTGACATTTCCTGTAAGAACAGTTGAACCCCACACAGAGCAGCTCTGGTGAAATCACTTTTTATTATTTCCTGTTTCTCATTGATGCCACGAAATGCTGCTGGTTAAAAAAGGTAAAGAAGACAGACTGCGAGGAGGAGGGAACAGATTTGCTTCCCTGTGATGTATAAATCAATGTTAACTCATCTTTAATGTGTGAAATTTGTTCCTCGTGTCCAAAAAGAAAAGTTCACAGAATAATATTGAGCTCAGTTTTCTTAATTAGTCAAATTCTAAATTCTAATTTCTTTCCTCAGACTGTTTTCCTGCTCTGAAAATCTGAGTTTTGATGCCTTTATATGTCAGCGAACATCCAGTGGAGACATTGTGTTGCTGTTTGTTATTAACATATGTTAAGAGGTTGTATGTTATAGAACCTCATGAGGGAATTTCTCTCACATTCACTTGGACGAAGATGAACTGATTAAACTTTGTAGGTCAGGGGTCACTTGATTTGTTCACATGTGCCAATATCTGTGGTCTCGTTTACCAAAAACTGGTCAAAAATGTTGAACAGGTAAAGTTATGTTTACAAATAAATCCAAAGTTTACCACATGTCAACCAAAGATAAAAATATTCTTTGTAAAATGAGAGATTAAAGATTTAATGATGACTTTACTCTCAAACACTCTTTTTTCTTATTACTTCAATACTTCACCGTACAATTCTCATTACTTTCTGAAACAATATGTTAAACTGGTCAATTAAAATAGATTAAGGAGGAACTCCACTGATCTTAAACACACAGAGGGTCAGTTGTAAAATCAGCTAAAGTTTAGCTTGAGGCTAACGTTAACGTGTCCATGTCACAGAACAAATTTAGTCTGAGTTGATACAAACCAGTCACAGAACTGTGTTGAATTTTATACAGTAAAAAGTTGTCGAACATCACAACACATTTAAAGTCCACCATCTGGAATCTAAATCTAGAATGTGTGACAGTTTGTTTGTGTGGAACATGTTTGTGATCGCCGAGCGGCCATGTGTGTCGCGGTGGACGTGTGTGTGCGTGTGTGTCTCACTGTGTGTTACATGACAGCAAGCGCAGCAGCTGGGACCGTTGATCGTGAACAGGTGCTGCAGCTGAGGTTTTGTGAGTCCGTATATCACTCTCGTTCTCCGCTTGTGTTCATGCACACGTGCCCGCATGTATGGCCCCTGTGTGGGTCTTTGTGTGTGCATATGGCCACAAATGCAAGCATGTGTGCACATTAACCAGACTGAGCGACAATGGCCTGTTGTGTGGCTGCCGCTGCTGCAGGGAAACCTAATAGCCAAGGACACAGTAGCTCAACCAGCAGCTGTTTCATCTCTGCACCTCCGATTACACTCATCACTGAGGACGTGTGGAAAACACTCAGCTCACTGACCAGTTTCATCTGGTCACACTTTAAATAAGAATCATTTCAGAAATACAGATGAATGGTCCTCACCTTGAAGTATGAATAAATATTTGCAGTGCGTTTTCTATTTGCTGTAGATGTGTTGTCTAACTGATGACGATGTTTTCTCGGTTGTGTATGTTTTGTTTATTCACACATTTTATTGTTGTGCACTGAAGTGCAACAGAGGGAAAACACAACAACATTTCCCAAAACACGACCTAACTTCCAAATAAAACAGGAGGTACCTGCTGTCCACAAGGATCGTCAGTGATTGGACAAATGCTCTGTCCATCTTTTAAACAGGAAGAAAATAATTTATCCAGAAAAAGAAATTACAGCCGGGACAAGGAGATCAAACACAGACAACAGATACGCCCTTTTCTGTTAGAACTTAGCAGTATGTTGTGTTTGCTGTCGCTCTCTGTCATTGTCTTGTTGACATTGGATATTTTTTTACGCCCTGTTTTCTGATTTAGCGTTGTGTTTTGCTAATTGACGTTGTGTTGTCTGTGTTGACGTTGTGTTGTCTGTGTTGACGTTATGTTTTGCTAATTGACGTTGTGTTGTCTGTGTTGACGTTGTGTTTTCCAATTTATTATGCTGTGTGATTTTTGATTTCGTTTTTTGTTTATTTATTTGTTGACGTGTTTTTTGCAGTACTGTTTTCCCATTAGCCTTTGCGATTTGCATTGCGGGGCCACCGTATCAGGGCAACCGTACAAAGTACCTCAAAACAGAAACAAGATTCAAATAATAAATATCAGTGAGTGTATCAGAGATTTGTTGTATTTGTCGTAATGATACTACATGGAATACTACCAACACATAACAGCAGCAGGTCATTAGAAGCATCTGAGCTCACGTGACTCTGAGCCTCAGGACACCAGCAGCTCCCCCGCCTGTGCGCGCTCCCTGGCAGTTGTCGTGGACGCGCCCTGTGCACGCTGCAGATGAGCGTAAGAAGCTGCTGCAGAAAGTTTGGAGGAAAACTGAATCTGACGCTGCAACAACAGGACGGATCAAAACTTCTGGACATGGACACCATGACGATGTTGCTGCTGCCGCTTCTCATCACTTTACTCTGCAGTAAGTTTGTCTTCTGATTTAAAAATAGTTTGAATCTTTATTAATAAATAGAACATAAGCTGTGATGGGGTTTATTACCTAAAGACCCACAGCAGAAGGTTTTCAGAGGTGGTACTGAATGATGTGTACATGCACATATGTTGAGGGGGATTTTTACATTTCACCCTTTATTTACACTCTGGTGAATTTCCATTTTAGCTTTTATTAACATGCAGCTTTGAAGATTTTTGTCCAATTGTGTCTAAAATAAATTTTAGAAAAATCATAAAGTTTCTAAGGGTGTGCACAAGACATAGAAAACTCATGTAAGGTATTTAACAAATGCTACAGTAAGGGACTGTCCACAAATCACCGGTGAGAGGAAGACTGAGGGTCCAACCATTGATTTTAAAAATGCAAAACCGAACATTAAAAAACTGCTGCAATACCCTTAAACCCAATATTTCAACAATACTATTTACTATCAATACTTTGAAGAGATGACACATAAATTGCAATAAATTCAACTTTTAGCTGAAATATACTTTAATGTGTCTCTTTTCAAGTTTGTTTTACATAATTTTGAATTGAGAAAAAAACACCCTGTCCCCCCAAAATGTACCTTAACGTTTCAAGTTGTCATTCTACCTGACCTCCCTAACCGTTCCCACTCAGCCCCTTTATGAATTGTAATGATCAAAGTGTTTTTTTATAAGGTTTAATCGCACAAATGCTTTATATAAAATTATACACACCCTTATAAGGAGGGGTCCCCCAAAAGTGGAGGTGGGGTACAGAAACTTTCCTTATACTGGCAATGGAGGCTGATATGTCAGGTTATAACTAAACAGATTGTGTTACTATAACAATAAACATTACATAGGCACACTGGACTCTGCTGTATAATTGGCATTGTTACATGTGCATAAGCAACACAAACAGGGAGGAGGTGTCATGTGCATCAGGGGCTGAGATTGTCCAGGGAGTGGTTGTGCTCTGGGCTCCATGTTTACACTGAGCCCGCTCTGATGCCGTTTGAACCCAAGATCCACGGACTGATGAGACGCATCACATGGCCGAGCAGAGGAGTGTGTGATAGCCCCTGAATGACCCTGCTGTTAATTGGACTGAGATGAAAACGGCTATCTGGAAAGAAATTGCATTTGAAGTTGTTTTTTAAAGGAAGAGGCTATTTTCCAGACAAGATGCTTTATGTCACAGCTTTGATAGCGTGTGTGTGTGTGTGTGTGTGTGCATGTGTTTTGATCTTTCTTGAATTTACCCATGAGGACCTCTTGGAGATGAAAAGATTGAAACCATCCTGTTCCGTTTGGACAGAGCTGGAAAATGTTTGGAACATTTTGGGCCGAATACATTTTTCATTAGTTTCCTGTGTGTTGGATGTAAAAAAAGACAGCACATCTGTAAACTTCACAACATTTTAATATAATCAGTAATAAAAAAAACACGTCAAAGTAATAACATTTAAAACATCGACTATGGACAATATGATTCTGTATATACATATACATATATATACAGAACATTTGAGTTAGCATTGTATTTTATCTCGCTCTTGTGTTTGCACAAGTTAAGATGAAGTTATTGTCATGATTCTGATTTGATGTTGAGTCAAAGTAATGTTTAGAATGTTTAGGTTTGGACGAAGGTCAAAGTAAATACTACGGTGCAGAGAGTTCAGGGTTCAATCAGTGTAGAGCCTAACAAGTGTGCAATACTGTGTGTGTGTATGTGTTGTGCCAGCTGAGAAGGGTAAGGTTACCGCCATACAGAGCTGCTTTGTATAATAAGAAAAGCATGCTTTCCATGCATGTGCACAGCAATCACACACACACACGCACACACATGCGCGCACACACACACACACACACACGCACACGCACACGCACACGCACACGCACACACACACACACTTGCATAGATACTGTCTGTTTGTCTGTGTGTCTGTGTGTGTGTGTGTGTGTGTGTGTGAGGGACAGATCACTGAGAGGTTATCAGGTTGGGATAAAGCAGCTTGTCAGAGCGTCATCCATCACTTGCATTCCTACACACCACCGCTCCTGGTACCACCAGGATGTAGCTTCACACTCTGTATGTTCATGTGTGTGTGTGTGTCTATAGGATCTCTTGCCTTCTTTGTGAGGACCAGTTTCAGTTTTAAAAGACATTTTGACTTGTCCTCAGTACTTCTATTGTCTGTTTGAATGTTGAGACGTTAGTTAAAGGTTCAGGCTGGAATTCATTACAGGTTACACAAAAAAAGTTTGTGTACCTTTTTTTTCTATATGGTCAGGATGTGTGTTCTTTCAGTGTGAATCCATGACTCTGATGTGTAGACTGTGTGTTCATGTGGTGTCGGAATCATCAGAAAACTTTGTTCCTGAGTAAATGAACTGACCCCTCCTCTCCCTACAGCTCCCGTCTGTCTGTCAGTGACTGTGAGCAGCAGTAAGACTCATGTAGAGGTCCACGAGCACACAGGTGAGACTGTTTCAATGTTTCCTCCTTCCTCTCATCACTTATCTGTGTTGGCTGATGTCACTGAACACATGTTTTATTTTATATCTTATTGATTCACTTTGATTTAATATATTTTCCAGTGAATGTTTGCCATCTAAAATTTAAATGACAGGAAT